AATAGAAGCGGCAACACCGCATTGTCGAAAATATTTTAGTTGGCTAGAGAATGTCCGAATATGCCCTCCATTAAATTTTCAAAGTGATCCGTTGTCTGGTTCACCAGAAACGTCTAATGTGCCATCCACCGTGAATCAGCCTGTATAAAATTATAATCGACCTCTTTAAAGTGTTTTTCCTTGGCTGGAGTGACGCCATCAATACCACCTATCCTAGTTATGCCTTTGTATTCATTAAAAAAATGACATTCTGGACTTAATGAGGAATGAGTCTTAAACCATTCAAATTTGGTAGATTTACCTGTGTCAATCTGATCAGGGAATTCAGCTGTCTTGTGGTAACTGGTGTGCAGTCCCCAGTCTGGAATTGTTTTCTCAATGTTAAATAAAACGCCTTCAAGAGAGTTTTAGCTTCATCCGATAAGTGAGACTTAACATATTTTTGAGAATACGCTATAAATTTTCGGAACAGATTATGGGGTATTAGATCCAATTTTTCTCCATTTGTTTGAAGGCGTTCTCTGAAATAAGTGCAACATGATTGATTATCAAGCTATGAGAAACGTAGCTTAGTTCAATGTACATTCAATTTAATGAAGAATATGTCAATACAATTCGATACATATATAAAATACCATCGCATTTGATAAAAGTTGAAAATATTTCAAAAGTATATATAGAATAAAATGATTAGATAAAAGTCAGTGGTAGTAGGATCGGAAACACAAGTAAAAATAACCTGTTTTAACACAAAAATCAATATCAAGATAGGTCAATTAAAAAATTATGCATATCTTCAAAAATGTTGCCAATGGTTTAGAAGGCTTTGGATATCAGAAACTATTATAGTCTCTACTTTTTCAGTGGGCATTGCTCTTAAATACTCTGGTAGTTTATTATATACACTTATGATAAAACACAGTATATTTTTGAACTTGAAACTCGGACTTCAAAAGATCTGTTAGGGTGTTGTAACTGGGCTTTTGAACTTAGCACATTTCTATTATAGTGAAAGAACCGAATCAGAAACGTCCTTCACCCATCATTGAGAAGTATTTTTTATGATATTTAGTATTATAAAAAATAATTCATGATTTACACAGTATGATATACTGTGCTATATTCATAGCATGTTATGCAATATATCGTTTGAATCCAAGAGTGGCATGAGGGTTTGCTGGCCAACTTTGATGCTATGGCTTGTCGGATCATTTTTGTGTATGGCCCCTCCAGCTTCCTGAAAGAACGTTCCCTGCAAGTGGCCGTCGATGGATATCACCATCAATGCTGGTGTTCCCTAGGGAACCATATTGTCTCCAACCCTTCTTTTTATTGTATATCAACGATTTATTTAAAAAAAACAAGAATCCAATATGTAGCTTTGCTGACGACAGGACCCTTGTCTCGTCATTCCATTTGGCTTCAAAAAACCACCAAAATTGATACGGGACTCTATAACAACTTACCATCTCAATTTCGAGATTTACCTCCAAAAATATTCAAATCCAAATTGAAATGTATTTTATCTAGTAACTGTATTTACAACTTCCACGAAATTAATCAGTTGATCGCTGAAGATTGGCATTTG